CTGATGCATTTTTAATCATACCTCTGCAAATATATCAAGGCAACTACAGTTAAATATCATCATCTAGTGTTGAAACGTTGTACTGCAAGAAATAAAGTACAGAATTCAGTAAAGCTTTAATTTTTTTTTGTCGATGAAGAGATGAAAAGGAACATCTGCAAGCTGGAACCAGTCTATTGAAATCCTGAAAGTGAGATTAAAGGCTGTCCAAGCCAATATGAAGCTGAGAGGTATGTTCAAGTAACATAATAAAAAAATGAAATTGTTTCCCCCCCCCCCAAAAAAAACCCCAATACTGGACAGAATATTGTATAGGCACCTTAGCTTATGAGCCCCTAGATCATAAATCTGTCATGTCATCATAGGACACTGCAAATAGCTGTAAATATGAGCCAGTTGCCAAACACCCAAAATATAGTCATATCACTGTGGGAGGGGCAGTTGTCAGAATTTCAGAACCAGATCATAAGTACTTTTTGAGGTTCTATCATAACTTTGAATTGTTGCTAAGCAACTGATTCTAAGTTGAGGACTATCTGATCCCCAAAGAGCAGCGTCATTATATTAATCATTCACTCTGGCTTTGATGGAGTATTTACTCAAATATAAACAAGATATATAGCCCAGGTCAAGGAAAGCTCACTTAATATTCAGCTCACTTAATATTATTCAGCTTCTACTGCTTAGAAAAGAGGATATCTATGGGTTATAACTTGGCCTGAGTTGGAAAAGGTTTGCATTCTATTTCTGCATTTATATTTGCTTTCTTTAAAACTGAACCTTTCACTTAAAACCTAAAATATCCCCTCTCTCAATCTGCAATCAGTTTAGAATATTGTACAATGAAATTATCTTGTTTCAAATCTGAACATGTATGTTCCACTGAATTCAGTAGAGTGCCATGTTTTGAAAATGGACATACCCTGTGCATTTCCCAATAAATTTTAGAAGTGAAAATGCCAGTAAATGACTATATTCAGTCTTTTTATTACAATTTGCCAGTATCCTTACAGATTACTTTTTAAGTAAAGTATGCTCTAACACTTTTCTTTTAACATGTCTTTTATACTTAGCTTTTATTCAACTTAAATATATTATTTCTATACAAGGTGATAAGGAGTAAATGTAAACAGGTGCACAATAATTTTTTCAGTAGCTTTGTGTACAGCAGATGGTGACACAGCAAGCAAAGAAAGTAATAATAAATTGTGAAGTATTGCAGTACTGAGCTAACTTGATCTTTGAACTCCATCCAGTGAGTGCACCAGCTGCACATTAATGCACAGAGCTATCAAGGGGAAATGAAACTTAAAGGCAACTCTCTCATTTAAATAACTTTAATATGGAGGGATTCTTTTTCCAGCTACAAAATGTTGCAAATTACAATTTTACCACATCATATATCAGCTCAAAGGAAATTCAGATGTCCTATGAAACTAAAATACATACATTGTGCAATCAACGTACACTGTAGGAAAGCCCTTGGGGCGGAGATCTCTCAGTTGTTTTTCCAGGCTAGGCCCAGGAGCAGCTGGTACACCAGCTTGTCTCAAAATGATATCCCTCATTTGGGATCCATTTCCAAACCTATTACAAGAAAGTGAATCTTTCCTTTAAGAGGTAGTTAGATGCACTCACAGTCTGTGGGCAAACACATCTACAATGTATCAGTCATTGTGTCCCTCTAGCTCAGGGTGTCAAACTCATGGCCCACAGGCCGGATGCATCATGCGTTGAGCACACCAACCCCCATTTTAGCAAAGGGGGAAAAGTTGATATGTCACATGACGATCATGTGTCATCTTTTGACACCCCTGCTCTAGCTGATTAGACCCAAGGGAACAATGTGGACTGAAACAATCTCATTGATCCCTTAATAGAACAAACTGTGTGAAAGAGGTTGTAGTATTGTCTCTCAGGACCAAATGCTTTACAGAACAAATAGTTCTTTGCTAACATTTTTGAGATTACACATCATTCACCTTGCCAAAACAAACATTTATTTCCAGGTATTCTAGTAGTATTGCTGCTAGCTGAAACAACCACATCCGAAAGATACTCATAAACCACCCAGTCACTTTGGATAGTGATGGGCAGCATATAGATTCAACAGACAGATTCAGATAGATTCAGACAGTTTTCCTAAGGCGAGGTATG